GGCTGACTTTGTGCTTCATGATGTGTGTCCTGAAGAACTAACCAGGCAGCTCCAAGAGCTGTGTGCTCAGAAGCACATGCAACTCCTTAGAGGGCAGGGCTCAGATTTCCCCGTAGAAGGATTGGTTGATCAGACCATGATGCTTTCCTAAGTGAGGTACCACTCAACCACCAAGGGATGACGAGACTAGGAGATGAATCTTTCTGAAAAGTAAGGTCAGGCAACTCAAAAGATAGGAAAAAATGTTAATGTTTATCTTAGGATATGGACTGTGGAATTGCTTTCTAAGTTGTTTTTTGTTGATATGTTATTTATATAGTAAATTTATAATAAAACTAAAGGCATAATAATGCAAACCATTTTGGCAGTTCCCCCGACAGCTTCTTTTATGTAGATTATGTCCTCACAAGAATGAAATGACCATGAGTGTGCAGATCTGTAGGTATGTAGTTGACACCCACTTGCAAAGGAGAAATTAGTTTCTCCAAAGGATTCTCACTGCGTGTACTACCCACACTAATGTGTACGTGCCCAGCAGTAGGTGGCCAGCACAAAATGAGCTCAATGATATTGTGTAGACTTTTTGTCTGTTTTGCTTTGTCTGGGCTTTCTTTGTCTAGTGGTCTATTGCTTGTTTATTATGGTTTCTGATTTTGTGTTTTTATTTATTTTTTTTTTTACGAGACAGGGTTTCTCTGTATTGTTTCGGAGGCTATCGGTCCAGCCCGGCCTTGAACTCACAGAGATCCGCCTGCCTCTGCCTCCCGAGTGCTGGGATTAAAGGCGTGTGCCACCACCGCCCGGCTCTGATTTTGTGTTTTTATAGATTTGTGTATGTGTGTTTTTCTTAAGCTTTCTTTAAAAAAAAATCTGGTTTGTTTGCTTTTTACCTGTTTCTTTTCTAGAGAAAGAAAGAAGGAATGGGACTGGGTGGGTGGGGAGCATCTGGGAGAAGTTGGGGGAGGAGAAATAATGGTCAGAAAATATTGAATGAGAGCCAGGCGGTGGTGAGGCACATCTTGAGGCAGAGGCAAGTGGATCTCTATGAGTTCAAGGCTAGCCTGGTCTATGGAGCAGCGAGTACCAGGACAGCCAGTGTCATGATTTAAGAGAGAAAGACACTATGTGACAGGGTTCAAGCAGAGGATTTTTTTTAATTAGGGAAAGAGATCATAAAGAGGGGAAAGGGGACAGGGGACGGCTTCCAGGGACAGGAGCAGAGGAGAGAGGAAAGATGGGGGAGATAGAAAGAGGGAGGGAGGGAAGGAGGCAGGGGGGGTAGAAGGAGAAACAGAGAGACAAGCAGAGCAGGGGGGGGTCTGTCAGGGCCCTTTTAAAAGGGACATAGTGAATGTGCACAGGTGGTGCTCTTAGCGGCTGCAGCTGAGGGCGTGTCCTGTCAGAACCCCAAGGACAGGCCAGTACAGATGCCTAAGTACTAATAGCCAGGACTGTTGCACAGAGAAACCCTATCTCAAAAACAAAAAACAAGAAAAGAAAAATTGTATGAAAAAATTATTTTCAGTTAAAAACAAAAAGACTGAGAAGTGATAGAACCAATAGTTGAGTCAGGCATGTTTACCATGACCTTCTCTGTAAGATAATCTGGGTTTTGACTCTTCAGGAAGGGTTCCTTTACTTAGAATTTGAGCCATGGTGACTGTTTCCACTCTCTCTCATGCTCTCTCCTCTCCCTCTCCCTTCCCAACTTCTTAGTGAATTTCAGAAGTACTGTAAAACAGATCAGGGACTATAAAACCTAAGTCCCATTTCACCTAGGAATTTCACTATTAAGGTATTTTTGTTGCTTGGTATCATAAGTATATTTGTGTTATATTTTCCCAAGAATTAATAGACAGTGAGCCTCCAAATAGTTTGCTTAAACTGTGTGTACTTTTCAAGACACGTAGAGCCAGATATGTTTCCGCCTGTGACTCTCAGCACTTGGTTGGCAAAGGCAGGAAGGTCATGAGTTCAGGACTACCTGAGCAACATAGTAGTTTTCATCAATTGTTTTTATTCCCTGATTGGCCCAAAAGTCCATCAGGTAAGACCAGAATCACAAAGGGAACTCATGGCTTGGATCAGCAGTGTTTAACTTAAGATGTGCATCAGGGGTTATTCACTTTGGCATTCATTCCCAAGCCCTGCCTGTGTCCCCATAAGAGACAGCTATAGGAAACAACTTGTTTAAGTAGAAAGCTCCTGGGGTCGCCCACCTCCAGGGTATAAACAACTTGCCTGTTCCCTGCAAGATGGCGTCCACTGAGGTGTCAGCCAAGACCAGGCAGGCTCTTGCTGTTTGGAAGAAGCAGTCCTGACACCGAGTTTCTTCTCACAGATCAGCTCTCATTGGCCCAGCCCCTCAGGGTTTGAACAGGGCATCTGCCGCAGTGCCATTCATTTTCCTTCATTCTCCTGTCACTCAAGTGAACCCAAGGCTTCGTGCATGGTACACAAGCATCCTGTCTGAACCACTCCTCCAGAACTCAGCCGCCAATCTCACACTCTCCTGAGACATTTACAAGGAAAACCCCGATTTCAGAATTTTAGTTCCTTGATGGAGGGTGTCTCTGTTTCTAACAAATATTGAAGATCATTTTCTTGGGAAGAGTGATTGATGGTCTGCTAAATATAGTTAGCTCCTGAGAGTCTGGTAAAGAGGGTCACAAATACTGTGTTTACAACACAAGGCCAGGGTCTCCGTGCTGCAGGAGGCCTAGTGTTGGCCTTCTTCCCACGTCTGGGCATGGTGAAGCCTTCCAGTGGAGTTGTGCTATGCAGCCCTTTCGAAATCATACTGGAACCCTGAAATTCCCTGTCCGGGTGCCCACTTACCGTACCCATGTAGGCCTTCCTCATCATAACCCAGTGTGCCCGTTTCTTAGTGCAAGAGATAGGTAAGGAGTAGCTTCAGTCTTACAACATTGTCTCTGTTTCTTTTTGCAACTAAAAATTCCTCTGTTTTGGTTGTCAGCGGTTCTCAAAAAGGCATTAGGCATCATCTTTCATGTTGAGAAACTGAATCTTCAACCCATAGTTAATTTTCTGTAGTTACATCATCTGATATAGGGGGCCACAACATGCTAATTATACTAAATTTTGTTAGGGCAAAGGAAAACCACAGCTTTCCAAACAACTGAGAAGTTGTGGTTCTTCTGCCACGCCCCTCCTCTGTAACAGCCAGGAAGAAGGAAGGCACGTGTTCCATAATATTTCCTCAGAGGGATCTGGGGAAAAAAAGAGAAAGGAAGAGATTAACTGACTGAACTCAACACTCAGAGCTATAAATCATGTGTTGCAATATGGCGATGGGGTGTTGCATCAGAGCGTGGCGGTTGTAATGGAGCTCTGGGTCGCACACCCTGAGAAGTTGTGGTGCTCGGTACCTTTTTGCTGAAGAGTCGGTGCCGAGTTTAAATTCCCTCTGTTATTGCTAAGGAGCAACACGTTTACTTCAGTTTCCTTGTCCCTCTGTGTAATTTTCCTCTCTTGCTGTAGAGCAGGGGCATTTCTTTGTAGCTGAGAGAATGGCTGGGCCAGATGATCCCTGCACCGAGCCCAGCACCCCTTGTTCCTGTTGTCACATGCTAATGTGTCCACTTCTTCCTGGAAGTCTCATCAGGAAAGCCAGAAGGCAGCATGGCAAGGCTGTGATGGCCTTTTTCTCAGAGCCGTTAGTTTTGAAAGTGTTTTAACACTTCCTGCCTATTTCACGTTGCCTTTATCTGAAGATTTGAAAGATAGTGACTAGGAGTTTGTTATGAAGAATAAGGATAAATGTTGGTAGGAGTGATGAGGGTAGGAATGTGAAGTGTATCTTAGCATGCCCTGTAATCCTCAAGATATTTGGTGGCTAATTAATGGTTCTCTGGTTCTGTTCTGCTTTTTTCTTTCCTTTTTTTTTTAATAGGGAAAAAGGACAGTATACAAGACAAAGGAAGGAATATCAAAATTTGTATTTGCAGCATAAATCCTCAAGGGCAAGATTGGTGTCTAAATATATAGTGGGTGTTTGTGCCCATGGTGGTGCTGGGAGTGGGCTTAGGTGGAGTTTAAGCCAAGCAGCAGCTGATCTCCGGGTGACGGCGCTTTTGGGGAATGTCGTTTAACGGCGCTTTTGGGGAATGTCGTTTAGGGTTAGACGAGCTACCAGTTCCCCAACACTGAACTCTTCTCTTTTCATCTCCTTATATGACACTGGCCCTGAAGATCTCAACAGAGAGAACAGGGTCGGTGCTAAAGAAGAAAGAAAGGGAAAAGAACTAAGTCCTTGAGAGACCAGTGTGGTCCCTGTCCATGTTGTCCCTGTCCCTGTCCGTGGTCCAGGGTAGGGTTGCTAAAGAAGAAAGAAAGGGAAAAGAACTAAGTCCTTGAGAGACCAGTGTGGTCCCTGTCCATGTCGTCCCTGTCCGTGGTCCGTGTTGTCGTCCCCCCCGCTTCCTAAGGTGCAGCAGAGAGAAGATAGAGGTGAAGCACACACTCTGAGTCATTTTTATCATTGCAGAATTACAGTAACATGATTTCAAGATAGTGTGTGCACTAGTGAAGAGTAGAAATATAGAGAAATATAGCTGATAGGCTATCTGTGATTCACCTCAGAGTAAACCAGGGACAGAATGGTATGATTTATAATGCAGCCAGACTGTCTACGCTGTGTGTGGAAATCAGGTAACGTACACACGGAGTTCATATTATCTTTAGTACAGAAAAGTTTTAGTTGAAATGGAAACTCTGCTATTAGCTGTGAAACCTCAGCAGGTTCCTCTCAAGTTTCCATTTCTTAATCTGTAGAATGAGAATAATAAAAATCTAGTACATAGGTCTGTCAGAGTCAGTTAGAATCTGAGTTATGTCCCATTCAAATGGATTCAAAATCATCATGTCTGTAGAGATGATGGCATCACCTTCCTTTGAATACAAACTATACTCTTTTCATGGGACAATTGTGTTTGCCTGGTTTCGAGTATATCTAATACTCTGGATTTTGTTTTCAACAGCTCAGGTGCCTGAAGGGCCAGAAGGCCTTCTCCAGCCAGCCCCCCTTTGATGGCATCCACATCGTCAGCCATTTGATAGGAGACGATGACTCGTTCCACTCGTCAGATGAAGACTTTATAGATAGTTCCTTACAGGAAAGTGGCATTGCTTTTCCTTTGCACAGAAAGCCTGGCTCTCCGTCCTTGAATCCCACGTTGGCAGACGGCAGTGAGAGCGAAACAGAGGACAGTGTGCTAGGAACTCAGGGGCATGACCCTGAGGCTCCAAAGGAGCCGTCCCCACAAAGAGAGTCCTACTCAACTACTGTCTGACCACCACTGTGACGGCCAGGAGGCCCTTAGGCAGCAGCCGCACAGAAAGAGTCTGGGGGCTGTCCCTCTGTCCTGTGTACATATATGTCTGTTTTTTACAGCCTCATATGACTGCCTTTGCCAAATGTTCCATTGCCACAGTAGACCAGAGTATGCTAATTGGTAAATGGGGTTCTAACAGTATTACAGAATATTAATTTTTCTTATTTAGAAAATACTGCTGTGTCTTATGAACCGTTTTCAAATTCAGGACTATGGGAAATTGGATTTTCTTTAAACAAAACCGCTCTTGTGCAATATTTTATCCTCATTGAACGAACTGTACATTTGTGTTTATCAATTTGTTTCCAAGGTGGCTGTCTCTAGACATTTGACCAAAACATAGAGGTGACTTTGTGTTTTGAGGGTAATTTTTTCTTCACTAAAATTTCAGCTTTGTTAGTAGGTCACTGAAGATTGTCAGACACAAACAGCTTTTTTTTTTCTTGTATAATTTCTAAACAAAGTACTTGTTGTCTGTTCAGAAAGTTTTTTTGTTCAGTTTTTAAATTTTATGTGTATCATACTTGTGTGTGTTAGTCAGAATAGTAGCAGGTAACTGCAGGTATATTATCTGTACATATTTATAAATCTGTGTCACCCGGCATTGACGTTGACAGTGACTGCTTTCAGCATTCCAACAGGACTTCTGTAAATAGCAGGTTAAAAGGAAGCTAAACACAGACCAGACACTACTGCTGCAGTAACCTTTACTCCGCACTCCGCACTAGCAGACTCTGACTGCTCTCTGTTCAGACACTACTGGTAGAGCCTGTGACCAATAAGCTTCACAATTAAAGAGGTGACAGCACGTGCTGTTTCACGCTAATCTATTTAACACTAGATTTAGCACTAGACTAGGTTCCAAGATGCACAGCAAATATTTCTGGAAAAAAAATCTGTGAGTATTGTATTTAAATTCTCTAGTTTCTAACCAACAGGTAAAGCCATAAAGAGCCCTTTCTTCTTAGTAGTTGCTTTGTATTTAGACTTTTTCTCTAGAAAACTGAATGCTTGCTATTTGTAAGTTGGAAACAACGCTCACCTGTGGAAGTCTGTGGTGGCTGGATGTTTTCCACCTCGGTTTTGTTAGTAGCATGGCCATAGAGGAAGACAGAATGTAGTGTGTATGGAAATACATTTTTGCACAGAATGTTGCATACATAAAGAGAAATATTTTATGAAATGGAGAAGAAGAAACAAAAGTAGTTTTCTTTCTAAAACTGTGTAACGCCTTACGCTGCATTGTGGGCCAGGCTTTCCCAGCAAAGGTGTCCTAGCTCGGAAACATGCCTTTTGTGTCCAGAGCACCCACTGAATTTTAGCATTTAATTAACCTGTAAATTACAAGCTGGTTATTTAGCAGAGCTAGGGTATTGATTTAGATCTCTCTCTCTCTCCACTTCTAGCTGATGAGTTTTTCAGCTCCCTGCTCTCTGGCAATGTTATTTCAGTAATTTTCATTTAAGTCAGTTTTCTAAGCATCTCCTGTCGAGATGGGTGTTCGTTAGCGTTATCAGTCAAGTTTCACTTAGCAAGAGTGGGTGACAGCACTACTAGTCCTTTAAGGTTCTCCATTGTGGTCCAGTGAAGTAAGAGGACTTTGTAGCCCTTTTTTTTTTAACCCTAGAACCCTCCCCCCCAATCAAGAACCCTCAATGGGGCTAGACCCTGTGTTTAGTCCCTAGCACCGCCAAAAGACATGCAAGCTCCGAGAATTTCCTAGGACTTCTGGTTTGGAACTAGGTGTAAAAGAACCCTGGTCATTAAAACTTTATTCATTGATGCTCTTGTGATTTGTACAGTGGAAAATTAGAGGCAACATCCATTCAAGGTCTTCAAGTCAAGCCAGGTTCAGTGGTGCATACCTATAGTCCCAGTTACTCGGGAAGCTCGAGCAGGAAGGTCACCTGAGAACAGGACCAGCCTGGGTAACATAGTAAGATTTTGTCTCAATTTTTTTTTAATTCACACACACCTTAGATGTAAATCTTTCTGGGTGTGAGGGTTCAGTAGGATACTGTGCCCTGATCTGGCTCTGTTTTGTTGAGTATAAGTTGAAGACCTTGAAGCTTTGGACTGTGTCCTACTGATGAATTTTATCTCATTGAAGAGTTTTGTGGGAGTAAACAGGAGATGACAGATGATGGAAAACCTTGCTCTCTTGGGATAGCGACCTTTCTGGTAACCTTGCCACTCCAGGTGACACACTGCAAGCCAAGACAACAGGATGGAGAAAGCACTTCAACAGACCCCTTCCCCCAGTACTGGGGATAGAACCCAGGACCTTACACACCACAGTGGGCAAGCTCTGTAGCCACACCTAAGTCTGACTTCTCAAAATCAGTGCATACATTGGGAAATGAGGCCAAAGAGATTGTTTTATACAACTTCTACACCGGTTCTTGTTGTTTGGATTTTTTTTTGTTTTTATTTTGTTTGGCCGATTGGCAGCTACTCCTGTCTTTTTTGCCGATTGATTGACACATCATATCCCAGCTGATTGGCCATTTATGTTGGAAGGAAAGGAAGCCTTTCCCAGCCCTGAGCACAATGCAGCCTGTTCTTTCCCAGCCAGTGCCTTTGATTGAAAATAACGTCTGCTGCTCTTGAAGTGTGTCATCCCTGGCATCATAAAAAGTCATTTGGTTCCTCACTCGCCATTTGCATAATGCACTATAATATTCAAATTTTTAAAAATTAAGGATATCAATTATGTTTTTGTAAGCTTTTCATGGCTAGTGTGGTTATCACATAGTACCAAGACATCGGTGGCCAACATTTGTAGAATCAGTAATTTCCTTACTAAAGCAATGAGTTTTTAGCCTGAAAGTTTATTAATTGATTTGAAAGTTTATAAATTAACTTAAAATTAATTTCTTTTTAATTCTGAAATTAGTTAAAATTCCTGATTGAAAGTAGGGTAGATGCTACTTTAAAATCCCAATTTTTACATCACATCCATGGATCTGCACACCCCTTCACTTCAGAGAAGAGATAGCACAGTAAGCATTGGACATGCAAAGTTACAAATGTATCTCATTGTACTGTGGATTTTTTTTATTGTAACAATGTATGATAACCTAAAAATGTTTACTTGTGCCTTTGCTTTAAATAATTAAAGTTTCTCGGTTTACAAAACTTTATTTCCTTAAATTATTTACTTTAAGCAGGAAGGGGGGTGCGGTCAAAGTACTCCTGAAGAACATTTGGCCCCGGAGAAGACGGGCACTGCTGAGGTCTCTGCTCCCTCAGTGGGGTTGTCCTGTCCACCTGCTCTCCACAGTGTGCCAAGCAGTCTGGGTGAATTTGACATCTAGTAGATATTTTCAGTTTCATAGACAGCCAGGTGTCTAGACTTGTTTCCTTCCTGAACATGGTGTTTGTTTTAATTATCAGTGATGGTATTTTCATCACAAATGTAATTTAGGTTATTGAAGGTATTACCAATGAATTTAGTAATACACCCAGATATGTGTGTTTTAGATTATCACATGGAGGCTCTTGCAGAATGAGTTTGTGCAGTGTTATTGGGTCAGTTTCATTGATTCAGAAGCAGCAACGTGCTGTTCTGGCTCTTCATGAAGATAACATGAAGTTTGCAAGCCTTATAATGCAGGCTTCTCCGCCTTGGAGCTGTTAGCATTTGGATTCTGATCCTTGTTGCAGTACGTCCCGCATACTGTAAGATGATTACAGTATCCACAGCCTCTCCCCACTAGATGCCAGTAGCACCCACGCCTTCAATTGAGGCAAATTATCTCCAGGTGTGGGGAGTGGAGGACACTCTGAAGTCCCGGGTGAAAGTGAGCTCCTTTGAGTCTAGATTGGCGTGGGGAGGAAGAAGCAGAAGGATGTGGCAGGGTTTCTCTGTGTTGTTTTAAGAGGCTGTCCTGGAACTCTCTCTATAGACCAGGCTGGCCTCGAACTCACGGAGGTCCGCCTCCTTCTGCCTCCCGAGTTCTGGGATTAATGGCTTGCACCACCACCGCCTGTCTTGTTGCACAGGTTCCTTAAAGGCTACTATGATTGTGGCCCAAGTAGGCCAGGCACCATCTCAAACTCTCGGGAGAGCCTGTCTTCATCCACACGGTGCCCGTGATGCAGGCTGCAGTAAGTGGTGGGATAATGGAGATTGCATCTTGGTTCCACAGAAGCATCGGAATGGCCCTGCGGTGCCAATCTGTGAAGCTGTGCGGTGAGGGTAAGTTTCAGTATCGTGCATACTCCAGATGGAGCCAGCTCAAGAGATAGAGAGGCATGTGTGCTTCAGGCCATAGGACAGTGGGTTGAGAACTCTCCCTAAGCTCTTAGGACCCATGTGATGCCACCAAGTCCAAGATGGTAGACACAGAGGTAGAAGTTTCTTATTTGCCCTGAAAAGTCTTGGTCTTGCTTTGTCAAATCTCTCCTTGCGATGCCCCAACCCGCCTATCTTAGATTGAGAATGTTAACACCACACCATTGTGTGTTGGAAGTATGTAGTTTGTTTTAACAGTGGCTCACATTAAGGAAAAGAGATTATCTTAGGTTTCAGAACAGACTTCAGATTTTGAACAGTGTTGGAGTTAGTACTTCAGGGACTTTTACCAATGAAGAGTGGCACACACCTGTAATTTCAGCAGAGGCAGGAGGACCACTGCAAGTTCAAGGCCATCCTGGCTTATATAGTGAGTCTCAGGTCAGCCAAGGCTATGTAGGGAAACCCTGTCTTGGGGGGTGAGGTAAAGAGAAAAAAATACTTCAAGGTTTTTTTTTGGTTTTACGAGACAGGGTTTCTCTGTATTATTTTGGAGGCTGTTGGTCCAGCCTAGCCTTGAACTCACAGAGATCTGCCTGCCTCTGCCACCTGAGTGCTGGGATTAAAGGTGTGCGCCACCACCTCCCAGCTACTTCAGGGATCTTAAAAGTTGAGTTGAATGTAGTTTTAAGAGATTGCCATCAGCCTTTGGAGGCCAGAGACAGAACATTACGGTTTAGATATGAAAATGTACTCCATGGGCTCCCATGATTCAACACTTGGTCCCCAGCTGGTGGTGCTGACCTTAGCCACCTGCCCCTGCCCCTGCCCCTGCCCACACCACCAGAGGGCCTGAACCATCTCACTCCGTGAGCCAAAATGACCCAAATCCTGGGTGTGTTTAGAATGTAAAGTCGGCTTATAAATGAAAAGACATTTAGAAGACAAGACCTGAAGTGACAAAATTCACAGCACTCTTGAAACTTTGAAAATGTTTAGACAAGCCAGGCATAAAGCATTCTGCAAGCAGAAGGCGGAGTTACTCAAGGGCTACATGATGAGTTTAATAATGCATTTCATCTTGCCTCAAAACAACGGTAATAATTCAGAATTCAGGCACTAGACTGGTGCTTAGGTTCTGTGTTGGTTGAACCCGGACAAATCTCAGAAGAACACGTGTGCGTGCGTGCATGTGTACAATCTGTGTGTGTGTGTGTGTGTGTGTGTGTGTGTGTGTGTGTGTGTGTGTGTGTGTGTGCGCGCGCGCATGTGCCTTGTTGGAAGGAGGTGTGTCACTTCCAAAAGCCACAGAGTTCCCAGTTGGCTCCCTTCCTGGGTCTGCTCCGTAGCTGTAGCTGTGGATCAGATGTAAGTTCTTAGGTGCTGTCCCACACAGTGCCCGCCCATTGCCATGGAGGTCATGGACTCACCCTCTGGGGCTGTCAGGCCCTGGCATTAAACGCTTTCTTTTACAAGTTGCCTTGGTCTTGGTGTGTTGTCAAGGCCGTAGAAAAGTAACTAGGCCACACACACCCGGCACCTGGTAGACTAAACGTGGCAGTACAAATCTAGGCTATCGGCCCTAGGGAGGAAGAGGACCATGGGTTTGAGGTCACACCATCCCCCCCACTCCATAGGGAGAGACCATCCTAGGCTACATGAGACTGCCTCTAAACAGCAGCAGAGTGTGCCCAGCAACTTAAGGTGGGGGATGTCTTCTGAGGTGTGTCCCCGCTGCCCCTACACACCGTGTCTCACGCACTTTGTACGCAGATGCTACTCTATGCAGATGCTAACTGGGTCTGTAACTCTATTTCCAACGTGGAACTATATCCAAGTCCAGTGTGTGCTTGGGGAGGGGTTGGGTTCAGAGACCCTTTCCCAGATGCTCAGACGCCCCTCAGGGAAGCTGCTGCTGTGTCTACAACTGCCCTTACTCCTGCATTGCCGAGGAGAGCCACTTTTTCAGACTGTCCTCACCAAGGGGAGGATGGACAGATGCTGGCTGACTTCAGAGATATTTCTCTTCTGACTTGTTTTACAGGAAGTGCATTCTGTACACATGACAGGCTCCCGGGTGAGAGGCATTGTGGCGGTTGAAATGCACCTGGAAACTTCTAACTGCCCCCCACCTCGCCTCCACCACTGTACACAGCCCTGCCTGGCAGGCTGGAGCAGGCAGCCAGGCAACCACTGTACACAGGCACGTGTAGCAGGCCGGAGCAGGCAAGCTGGCCAGCCTGGAACCTCATGTCTTCCCTGACCATGGGCTCTTCCTCCCCAGGAGAGGATGAGCTGTTGTCAGAACAGAAAATGTCAGGTAAAGCGGTGGAAACTAGAGTCAGACACTATGGGTTTTTGTTGTTGTTTTGGTTTTTTGTTGGTTTTGAGACAGGGTTCCTCTGTGGCTTTGGAGTCCATCCTGGAACTCACTCTTGTAGACCAGGCTAGTCTCGAACTCCCAGAGATCCCCCTGCCTCTGCCTCCCGAGTGCTGGAATTAAAGGCGTGCGCCACCAACGCCCGGCCCAAGGCACTATGGTTATTAAATATAAAATGTGTAACAGAAAAGTTTATGCAGGCCCTCAGTCAACACGTAATCACTTCAGAGGCTCACGCCAGGTCCTGCTTTCCTGCTTTCTCTGGCACACTCACTGCCTTCCCGTTTGTGTGGAGAGGGTTTTTTGTTTTGTTTTTAGGTGTGTCCTGGGCAGGGTGTGTGTGTGTGTGTGTGTGTGTGTGTGTGTGTGTGTGTGTGTGTGTGTGTGTGTGTGTGTGTGTGTGTGTGTGTGTGTGTGGCTCCCAGCACCAGTGCGGGGACGTGTGGAATCTGGCCATGTGAAGGTACTGCTGCTTCCCTGGTTCTCAGCCCCTGACGCTCCGTTGTAGCTGGGGCCTGCAACCTTCTATTTGCTTCACGGATTTCTCTAAAAAATAAGAGTTGTTTATTTGTGCGTCACAGCTAGAGAAGCTTCCCGTTCCTCTCCAAATGCCCTTGGGTGAGAACCGAGACAAAAAACACACACCACACACCGTAGCCCAAAGGGTTCGGCAGGAAGGAAACCCCGGGTTGATGTCAGCTGCTGTTACTAGCTGAATTCCCTAAAAAGAAGAGATTTATTTACTGTACATACCTGGCTGTAGGTCTTGGTGGACATTTTCCAAAGTACAGTGTTTCTGTGACACAGAGACTGCTGCATGCAGGCCCGTCAATAACTACGGTCTTATATTTGTCACACCGGAAACCAGGAAATAAAAAGTAGTAACTGAGTCAGGCAGTGGTGGCGCACGCCTTTATTCCTAGCACTTGGGAGGCAGAGGCAGGTGGATCTCTGTGAGTTCAAGACCAGCCTGGTCTACAGAGCGAGTTCCAGAACAGGCTCCAACGCCAAGAGAAACCTGTCTCAAAAAATCAAAAAAAACAAAAAAAAACAAAACAAAAAAAACAAACAAACAAAAAAAAAAGAAATGTAGAAAATGTACAGTTGAGTAAGGAAAACTTTGATTGGCAGACTTTTGTTTAAAAAGCCCTGGACAAACAGGGATGCACAGGGAAGTATCCTGCCTGGTTTAGCCTGGTTTAGCCACACACAGGCTGCTGTAGCCATGGTCCTCTGTTGCTTGAGTATATCTTAAGCTGACAGCAAATGCTGGCCACCACCACCATCACCCAAGCGGTGCTGATTCTGTAGGCACACCGAATGTATGAGTTCTAGGGTCATGGAGGCTTGTACCAAGGCCCTGGGGTGGGTATGGGGGGACCACACGGACGGATGGACAGAAGGACAGGCAGAACGGGCAGTAGAGCTGGTGTCTTAGTCTGCTTCCTATGGCTGTGATGAAACAGCATGACCAAGAGCATGCCTTCCCCACCATGACGGGCTGCGAACTCTAAAACAGTG